GTGTAGATATAAGAAAGGGGAGGAGTTTAAAAGTTGTCACCCCGATATTAGCTAGCTTCGCCGGTTGTAAATTTATTCGGAAGAGCATTGCTGGAGGCTGTGTTTGCTGAGGAGGAAATATTTGGCCTTTTTTCAATCTTGTGTTAAAGGATAGTTTGATCCTTGAGCACGCTTACTAAGTCCATTTGCACATCAAGCTGGTGTGATATTCATTTTTGGATTGAAATACTCTGGGCATATTCACAACAAAAAAATTTCACCAGCGTCTATCTGTAATCTTAAGAGTGAGGCAATGAACGGTGGACAGTGTAGTTTGTTTCACAAATATGTCTATGAAAAACTTTGACCGGATTTAACGCTAAGGTAAGTTCCATTCGTTATCCGCTTGAAGCTGCTTTGAGGGAGGATGTATCAGAATTCAAAAGCACTCTCGATATAAGTACGTCTTAGTAGCTAAGCAGCATTAATAAAGGAATGTCGAGGCGAAAGGGCGAAAAATTGCTTAGAAACAGACGAAAATGGTTAATTAGGAGATTCGGCCACATCAGTCGTCTATGTTGGTGCACCGCCAACGTAAGCAGATCAAGTACATCCATCAAGAAATGAATTGACGAGGACGAGTTGTCCGGTCCACGAAGTGCAACGCATCGGCGGAGTGCCTGGTGATCATTACAGCCGATGCGCCCCAATGGCCGGCCGCGCCAAACGATCGGCTTCCCACACCAACGACCACCACTTCATCATAATCGTGAAGAGCGCAGCTGTCCCGTAATTAAAAGCTGCTCACCTTTTTTGGCGTGACTATCCAATGAATATTAGATCGCACTCTTCTTTCATGATAATCATATTTTTTCACATATGATAATGCAGTTTTAGGAACTTCATGATGATCCCCACCTGTTTGTGGAAGGTGCATCTCCAAATGACGTTACTCAAGGCGTCCTCGGTAACTGCTGGTTCGTTTCCGCCTGCTCAGCTTTGACACACAACCAGTATTTACTAAACAGGGTGCGAATAGGTCAAACTGCATTCAGACTAATCTTCCGTCTTATGGGTTACGGTGAAACTTCAGGTTATACCACATGCAAAATCACAAGAATGGTGTTCGAAGAAGGGCTACGCGGGCATATTCAGATTTCGATTCTGGAGATTTGGCATATGGGTGGAGGTGGTGATAGATGATCTTCTGCCAACAAGGTGAACAACTCAAGTCATTGCGTCGAATTGTCCACTTTGATTGCATGGTACATTTAGGGGAGGCAAATTACTTTTTGCCCGGTCGAAAACTCCGAACGAGTTCTGGTCAGCACTCCTTGAAAAGGCGTTCGCAAAGTGAGCTTTGACATCGTTACGATGTGTGTTCTGTGTTGTTACGAAATGAGGAATACGTTGATAATTAGTATGCAGTAGTAAGTAGTAGGCACAAAAAAGTGCTAAGTATCTGATTAGCGGAGAAAAGCAGCAGAAAAAGCAGTCCGAAATGTTATAGAGAAAGATAACATAGTGGCTACTAGCTAGTAGCTAGCA